ACCAAGGGAAATTAATAAGAAATATTGTATAGCATGAATTTTGTTTCATGTAAATGACCAGGCAAATGAATGGGAAACGCAGAATTGCGAGGTTGTGATGTCCAGATGAAAGAGGATGGAAAGCAGCTCTGCAATATTTTGTTGCGAATGGTATTGCAAAGTAATTCTATTGCAGTATTTTAGTAATATTTGTTATATATATATATATATATAAAACAGAGCTTATAGTCAGCTAATGTAAAGCTAATGACTCACCCTCTGTGGTTTGCTATATACAAATTCATTATTTTCTAGGTAGCATTCATAAATAAATAATATAAGTTGTGTAATGTGATGCAAGTGTATTCCCTTTTGCTTATCCACTTGTACAACAAAAAAAAAGAGCTTTTTCCTTTTGTACATTGTTTATTTGTTTTGGCTACTTTTTTAACATATATGTGTAATAATAGAGTGTTCATTCAATTTCAGGCACTTTTTGACATTTATTAAAACTGACAGGCCTTTTTTTTTAGATTTACTTTAGCTGTTTTTGCCTGTATTACGATAGGACAGTATTTTAGACAGGAAGTGAAGTGGGACGGGGGATTGGAAAAGGTCTGCAAGCCGGGACTCAAACTCAGCACAGACCTTTAACAGATTTTTTGTTAAGACACGTTAAAACTGTCCAGGAAACATATATTTTTGATTCTTTTCAAATGTTGTTTTGTTTAGATTGTGTAGTAATCTTAAAATATACAAATCCATCAGAAAAAAATATGAGTTACTGTATTACATTCTAAAAAAAAAAGAAAAAAAAAAGAAAGAGAAGAAACTAAAAAAGAAAAGACGGCAATGATTATAATATTTAATTTATGAAATGTATTTTATTTTTGATTACAATCTCAGTTTTTGCCATCAAGTAACAAATGATTTTTTTTCTAAATTTAGTGTACTTTATCAATGAGACAACAGTCTCAGAAGAGCAGCCGGAGATGAAATTTGAGACATGATTTGTGAAGTACAATCAAGGTAAATATATTTTCTATAGTGCATTATTTACAATAAAATCAATTAAGTGAAAAAAAAAATTAAATGTGGAATACAGTACATAATAAATGCTAAAAATGACACTGATGGAAATGTTCTGGAAAGTTTCTGTATGTGCATAGACAGTTGGACATTTTAGTGGACAGATAAAACATTGAAAGTGTTAAAAGTGTGTTTTATTTTGAACTGCAAAGGATCCAAAGTGCCTATAGTTGAAAAACACCCAACACACCTGACCGCTCAATTCAGAAGTATGAGCTTTCCATGTGTACTTGAAAGCAGAATAATTTCCTATTCCTACCAATGCTTCTTGCTGATCTCAGATCAGAGATAATACCGCAGTAGCAAAACTAACACATACACAATCAGACACACACAAACCTGAGCTTTGCAACCTCTTTGTGTCAGTGGAATTTTTATCAGGATTTGCGTGGGTGAAATCAATACAAGCTTTTACCGGGTCTTGGGAAAAGTTCAGCAAATTCCACCACAGTCCTCTGAACCGCTAAAGGAGACGTGACAGCAAAGATAAATAAAAGGCCACACACACTCCAGAACACACACTCACTGTACAAGTGTTACAAAGCAGTTCATTTTGAGTTTGACATGATGAAGCATGTGAATTTGAGACTGGCTGTCTTTTTAACCCACCGGCGTGACATTTATACAATACAAACCTTTAACTAATATCCTTCGCAGTGGAAACTCATAACAAGCCAGCCTACCCCTCCAGATAATCGTTTTTAAATTACCCTTTTCCTTGAGAGATTTCTTTCATTTGAATTTCACTGTGGGGGACGAATCAGCTGGTCCTAAGAAACTGTTCTTAGCGTGGTCACAGCTTACCACAGCTACTAGTCTGTTTACAAGCAACTTTAACGTTTAGCTTCCCTTTCACTTGTTTCTAAAATGAACACAAAGTAGGCCGGAGGGACTGTGCTTATAAAACATTCAGCTTTTGTTCTTCTCCTCTAGTCTCATAAATAAACGTGCAATGCGAGTAAACCTTTTATAGAGTAGCAAACACATTTTATTTGCCAAAGTCCTGTAGTGACCAAAGCTTCTCTAAAAATAAGGATGAGGTGAGCGTCAATACAATGCTATGAGATGGACAGTGAAGCGTTCAAAGTATAACAGTCACAAGGAAAAAGAGAGCAAACACCGTCTTCAAGCTGTTTTACATGAGCAAGTTTAAATGTCAAGTGAGTTATGCATATTAAATATTCATGACTAATGCATTATCTGGAATATATGTGAGGCCTGAGAAAGGTGGTCTATTCTGATCTGACCCTTCAGGTCTCTGAGGCATCTTCATGTGCAGAAGAAACAGCTGTGCTCTGGATAGCGATGCTAAATTAGTTCAGTTGTTCTCAACTGGTGGGTCATGGCCCAAAAAATGGGTCACAGGTCTGTGCTTTTGGTATTGTGGACAGCAGGGAAACATGCAAAAACCTAGCATGGCAAAAAACTAGACTTATGAACTTTTAAAAGAGATATATTTTGTTGTTGGCATCAAAATTGAGCATCCAACCAAATTCTGTTGTATTTTGGCAGAAATTCATCTGCCACCTGGTAGAAGCTAGTGAAATTAGGCCAACATAGACATGTTGTTTGACACAACCCTTTATCTCTGAAAGAAGAAAAAATTGCAAACATACCAAAATGCATTAAAGGGGTCATATGATGCGATTTCAAGTTTTCCTTTCTCTTTGGAGTGTTACAAGCTGATTGTGCATAGATAAGATCCCTGAAGTTGCAAAGACTAAAGTCTCAAAACCAAAGAGATATTCTTTATCAAAGTTAAGACTCTGCCACGCCCCCCTAAAACGGCTCGTTCTAACACGTCCCCACATATCTACCTCACTATGTGGAAATATTTGCATAATGCGGCCCAAATGTGCATGCAAAGAAAGAAGGCGTGGTTTCAGTAACCGCAGTTAGTGTTGAAGCAGCCATGTCAGGGAGACCCTGTGTGTTTCTAGGCGAAAGCAAAAACACTTTATTTGGCCTTCCGGAAGTAGATGCATTTAGGAATCTTTAAGATTACTTACAACAGAACAGCAATGCATTTTATGGACGACCGTTTCGTGAACCTAGGAGAGGAGGTAATTCTGACTTTGCTATGACAATCTGGCGCTTCTGAATCAGCTACTGTTTTGTTATTAGTGCGTGCGTGCGTGCGCGCGCGCGCGCGTGTGTGTGAGAGAGAGAGAGAGAGAGAAAGGGTCACTCACAGTGGAGTCAGCTGTCTTAACCGTGGCTTGTGTACTGCAAACACATACCAGCTTCATCACTGTGTCTGTCACGCGACTCTGTTCCCCTTTCGGGCTCTGTCTTTACATTTATTTATTAAGATGAAGCTCGCGATTATGGTAAGGGGCGTTACATTTCCGACGAGTGCTTGCGGTGTTCGGCCAATCACAATGCACTCAGGGTTTCTGCAGACTTGAACAAGTTAAATTTAAGACTTTTTAAGACCTTTTTAATACCACCTTATATGAAATTTAAGACCTAAACCTGTAATGGAAATACAAATTTTATTACATACACATAGAGGACCTACAATAATGTACAGTATTTGAAAAATAATGTGTTTTTTGAACATTAAAGCATGTCAACATATTCTGTTACACCAAATACACAAAATAATGATCTTTTAAACTGCATCATATGGCCCCTTTAAGTTTACTTGCATGGAGAATAAACATGGTTGGTTTGTGCTGCTGAGAGACATTTAGTTACTAAATATAAATGCATCATTCATTCATTCATTCATTCATCAAACAAAACCAGTTGAGAGCCACTGAATTAATCATAGATGAAAGATGTAATTAATTTATGCAATTCAGACATAATCTTGTTATAATTCACTCTAATTAAATTTACCTTTTAGCTATCAATATGCTTACGTGTTCCTTTGTTTGGGGGAAAAATGCATGAATTTCATTGCATTCGATGACAAAATATCAATCCAAATGGCAGCTGCAACTGCAAGCTAATTTTCTAATAGCTAACTTTTCCTAGTCGTTTTTGCAATTACTTTAAACCAACTGGTCCCTGGGTGATTTTTAATGGATGTATGAAATCAGTTCCCCTCAAGGTGTCCTAGCAGAGTAGCCACAGGTATTAATAGTTAATGTGATGAAATGCATGTTCCAAAAAGGATTGACTACCAGAAAGTGTTGCAGTACGTTTTGTATATTATCTTATGTTGTATAATTTTAAACCTATACACCTCTTTTTGTTAAATGTTTTTCTAGTTGTAAAGTGTTGTGCTAGGTTTCTAAGTTTCTATAAAAAATAAATGGGTTTATTAAACCAAGAAATTCATATTTTGCTAACGCAATAGTAATATTGTGATATTATATATTTTTTTCTTTCATAGCAAAGCTGAAATTTCAGCATCATTACTCCAGTCTTCAGTGTCACATGATCCTTCAGAAATCAGTGCACTATGATGATATGCTCAAGAAACATTTCTTATTATTATCAATGTTGAAAACGGTTTTTGCTGTGTAATATTTTTGTAGAAACCGTGGTACATTGTTTGTCAGGATTCTTTGATGAATAGAAAGTTCAAAAGAACAGCATTTATAAATGTGCCCTGTCACTTTTTTTAATGAGTTTAATGAATTTAATGAGTCTTTTGCTGAATAAAAGCATTCATTTTTCTCAAAAAAAAAAAAAAAAAAGCTTACTGACCCCAAATATTTGAACGTTAGTGTATTTGATGGAAATAAATTGTTTTCTTCTGTGTTTTAATATATGTTTACATAAGGAAGCTTGAACTGAATTACCTGTCATACTAAAAATGTCCAAAGCATGGCAGCATGACCTGGGCAACATAAGTAGCTGCTGATAATGAATAGACTCTGCGTAAGCTTTAATGAAGTCGTGCCTGTATAGGTCAAGCTGTGATGTTTTCTCCCCCCGGACTAACACTGTGTGCCTGTGATTGTGTTTTCTCTCTGCAGAGCCACAGCTAAAAGGCATCGTCACCCGTCTGTACAGCCAGCACGGCTACTACCTGCAGATGCTGCCGGATGGCACCATGGACGGCACAAGGGACGAGAACAGCTGCTTCTGTAAGCGCGTGTTCTTTCTCACTCACTATTCACGGCTGACAGGCGCAGTGTGACCTCTGGTTGGGTCAGTTGTAGAAACTATTGAGGAGTGTCTGCTTGTGTCCGTCCCTGTGACCGCTAGACAGACATAAAATGAACTTCTGTTGTTCATGACGTTCATTTCTTAAAGGGGTCATATGATGCGATTTCATTTTTTCCTTTCTCTTTAGGAGTCTCCTCACGTACATGTTCTGTCTGTCTGTCTGTTATAATTAATTTGAGAGCCCAGTGTTGGCATATGTCTGGTATGTCAGGCCTAAGGCCAGGTGTATAACACTTAGCCCATGGTCACTGGTGCCACAATGGGGATTCACATTTAGCAATATAATTGAAGATCACATGCCATAGCATTAATATTTGTCTGGACTAGAATTAAGGGACCTAGCCAAAGCAGATAATTAGAAGAGGATGTTCACATTTTCTTGGCCATGTTGTGTTTTTTAATTTAGATGTCTAGAAGTAATTCACTTATTCACTCTGCAGGATGTTGTACATTGTTAATAGGGTTGTGCGCGATATGTATCATCTACGATAATTTCGTAATTGTTGTTTTAACACTGTCCGAGCTGACATTATAAAGTATGTCATTCAAATTGCAAAAACAAAATGTTTGTGAGCAATACACAGTGGTGTTTCGTTATTGAATGAATCTGCATTTTTGAATAAATCATTTAAGTGAATGATTCAGTAACACATTCAATGACCCATTAATTAAAGGATAAGTCCACTTTCAGAATAAAAAATTCCTGATAATTTACTCACCCCCATGTCATCCAAGATGTTCATGTCTGTCTTTTTCAGTCGCAAAGAAATTACGTTTTTTTTGAGGAAAACATTCCAGGATTTTTCTCCATATAGTGGACTTCAATGGTGGCCAATGATTTCAAGGTCAAAAATGCCTTTTTAATGCAGCTTCAATGGGCTCTACACGATCCGAGCCGAGGAATAAGGGCCTTATCTAGTGAAACGATCGGCAATTTACTTAAAAAAAAAAAATTATATATGTGTATATATACATATATATATATACACACACTTTTTAACCACAAATGTTTAAAAACCGTGTGACCTTTCCAGCATGATTACGTAATGTGTGAAGACGCGCAATCGCAGAGCTAGAGCAAGCCAAGCATTTGTGGTTAAAAAGTGTATAAATATATATATATTTATTTTTTTCAGAAAATGACTTATCGTTTCACTAGAAAAGACCCTTATTTTTCGGCTGGGATCATGTAGAGACCTTTGAAGCTGCATTTTGGACCTTGAAATCGTTGGCCACCATTGAAGTCCATAGAATGTTTTCCTCCAAAAAAATAATTAATTTCTTTGCGACTGAAAAAAAAAAAAATTAACATCTTGGATGACATTTTTATTCTGTATGTGGACTTATCCTTTAAGACATGTGACTTGCCGTCACCTACTTGCAGCTTTATCTTTAAAAATATCATTTAATTTTTATAATGATTTCATATTTCAATGTTAAATAATTTATTTTTAAAATATTGAATATAAAGAAAATGAAAAATACAATTTTAATATTGTTTATGCAATTTATATGCTTATGCTTACTGTATTTGCATTAAAGTGTTAGTTCACCCAAAAATGAAGATTCTGTCATTCTGTCACCCTCATGTTGTTCCAAACCTGTAAGACCTTCGTTCATCTTCGGAACACAAATTAAGATATTTTTGATGAAATCCGAGAGCTTTCTGACCCTGCATAGACAGCAACACAACTACCACGTTCAAGGTCCAGTAAGGTATTAAGGACATTGTTAAAATAGTCCATGTGACATCAGTGGTTCAACCTGAATTTTATGAAGCTACGAGAATACTTTTTGTGTACAAAGAAAACAAAAATAACTTTATTCAACAATTTCTCTTCTTCCATGTCGGTCTTTGAGAGTACCATGTCATGTGTGTGCATTTCTGGGCATAGTAGTTAGTAGTTGCGTTACTGTTTATGGAGGGTCAGAAAGCTCTCGGATATCATCAGAAATATCTTAATTTGTGTTCCGAAGATGAACGAAGGTGTTACAGGTTTGGAAAGATGATTAAATGGATGCTCAGAATTAAATCATTTTTAATTAGAGTTGCCTTTTTGTGGCTTGCGAGCAACCACTGGTGATACAACAAAGTTGAAGAGAGTTTTACTGTATGTAAATAAGGAATTATGCACCGCAGTGGCCACCAATGGAAGTGTGACAGTGGAAGTCAGGTAATTTTTCCTGTAGTTCAGTGTAGAACACCTATTAGCAACTGACAGCATCACAACTTCACAAACTCAAATTCAGAGTGAATGTACCTTAAGCAAACCAAAAAAAAAAAAAAACATTAAAATATAGATTTTTAACAGTGTATAGTATTTTGGAGTCAACCAAAGATTGCATTTCTGGAAGTCAATTCTTCTGTACAGGTTCAGCCTGAGGCCTCAGTGGTACAATGTTGTATTTTATGTTGAGTCACCATATCATGCTGTTCATGAAGGGGAAGAGACAGTAAAGGAGAGAGAAAAACATTCCAACGAGAGCAGACACATGATGTGTCATGAATTCTTGTGCTTTTTGTGCTCTATGTGAGTTTTTTTTTGAGTGTACGAGTAACGGATTGAGAAGTATTTGATTGGGATGGCAGTTGTCAGGGTGCACAAGTGTAGCACATTCCTGCCTGGGTTGTCAGGGACTAGCTTACATGTCATGCTTGTCTACTGAAATGACTGTCGCACATATTAAATAACCATATGACTGTGGCATCCCATGAACGTTGTGACAGGGCAGTCTGATGTGAATCCTAAACACTTCACGCCCAATGAGGTGTATTTGATGGTGCTAAATTGTTACGATACTGTCCGACACCAATTAGATACTGTCATATATCTGTCAAACTCCAGCGGGAAATCTCACTGAAGACTAATTGCGGAAATATTTACCCAGTGTTCCTCAGCCTGTGTGGGAATATCTCTCTCCCTCTCATTGCCTTTTATTTTGCATGATTTTATCTTCTGTTATCTCTCAGAAGCATTAACTGTGTGATGTTCCATGAATGATCCATATCAAACACAATCCATCTTTCTATCAAGGACAACAGACGTAGGACAGATAGTCCCTCCTGTATAACTTCCCCAACCTCATGCCATTATCTTTTCCATCCCTGTCAGTTTTACATCAGCTCTTCTGTGTCGCTCTCATCTTCATCTCTGTTATCCTGTTTCATCCTAAGTCACGATGTCCCTAGTCTCGCAAAGCCAGACTTTTGACTCAAGGCAAAAAGTCTGGTTGTCATTGCAGCTTATTCTACCCAAGAAACGCGCACTTATAATGGAAAAGACAGTTTGACTGACATCTAAAGCAACCAAACACTGTTTCTACCTGCATATTCCATTCTCTCTGACACCTGACACACATTGAGTGTTTAATCTATTTCTCTGAGCATGAATTTCTCTGATTTCATCCCACAGCACAGTTCAACTTGATTCCTGTGGGTCTGCGGATAGTGGCGATTCAGGGAGCGAAAACTGGCTTCTACCTGGGCATGAACAGCGAGGGATTCCTCTACACCTCCGTAAGTGACTGAATGCTCTTTTAAGGATTGATGTTTATCATAATTAGGATCATTATGCCGGTGTCCTCCATGTGTCTCCACAATAATGATTCACGGATAATTGACGATGTGCAGCTTTTTGAGGGGTAAATAATTATGCATGAGTGTTTAATTACTCTCCTTATAATAAAGAGTTTGGTCAAACAGACTGGTGTGAAAGAGGATGGCGTAATTAGGATGATGCGGACTCTGTCTTTGGTTCTAAAAACCACAGGCAATAGGGCCTTTCGCACCGCGGGAACCTTTTCATAGTACCAGAACTAATTGTGGAACTACCCACTTTTTGGCGTTATAGCACAAAATTACCCATTTTGGACCTAGCAGTGAAGCTCTTGGACGCTCTCCATGGTGCTGAATTGCCAGGTTGCTCTCCATGGTGCTGAACTTCTCTGGCTGTATCAAAGTGTCCAATCCTGTTTACAGAGGGCCACCTTCCTGCAGAGTTTACCTAATTAAACACACCTAAACCAGGCAAACAAGGTCTTTAGGACAGGTTTGAGCTAAACTCTGTGGGAAGGCGGCAGAATTGTTTTTCCAGATTTAAGAGTTCTCACACGCCAAATAAAATGGTTCAGTATGCAGTTCTATATACACTACTGTTGAAAAGTTTGAGATTTTAATGTTTTAAAAAAAGTCTCTTATGCTCACCAAGGGTACATGTATTTGATCAAAATACAGTAAAAACAGTAATACTGTGAAATATTATTACAATTTAAAATAACTGTTTTCTATTTTAATATATCTTAAAATGTAATGTATTCCTGTTATGCAAAGCTTAATTTTCAACATCCATTATTTCAGTATTTAGGCTCACATGAACCTTCAGAAATCATTCTAATATGTGATTTGGTGCTCAAGAAATATTTCCTATTATTATCAATGTTGATATTGTGTAAACTGTTATACTTTTTTTCAGGATTCATTGCTGAATAGAAGGTCCAAAAGAAGAGAATTTATTTAAAGTAGTCTTGGAAGTCTTTGGAAAATTATATAATGATAATGTCACTTTACTGTCACTTTTGATCAATTTATTGCATCCTCACTGAATAAAATAATAATTTTTTTAATATATACAGTATATATATATATATATATATATATATAGACACATACATTTTGAATGGTACTGTATTTTGCCACAAAGTGTTCCAAAAAAAAAAAAAAAACCTAATTAGAAAATCCCAAAAGTTATACATTCTTTTTTTTTCTTTCTTTACAAATCTCTTGTGGTTCTGGAGACACTTCGAACCCTGTGTTAAGCGTGCTAGAAACCCTATAGCCATATTGGATATGTGCCGTTAATGTTCCCAAAGGTCAAGCTTTCCCATAAAAATAAATACAATAACAAAGGATTAGCCCATGCAGTGTGACCAATTACCCAAATTGTGCTTGATGTGGAGTAGAGTGGAAAGCAGCAGCATTAGCAGGCAAGGTGGAGCAGATATTTAGACTGTGTCACGGCTAGAGCAGGATAAAGAGAACAGAGAGCGTGATGAGACAGCACGCAGAGAGAGATATTGAGTGTGTGTCTGTTAAGCTGTGTATATGTGTGTGTGAGCGTGCATCCCAGAGCTGCCGATTAGAATGGGGGATGAGAGAGCTTTTGTCTCCTGCCTCTCTGTGAACTGAGGAATGAGGGGATTTTCTTCTCAGAAGTGGAGAGAGGCATTTGGTTCAAAGGCAACTGCCTTTAATTCAGAGCCTGCATCGCTTACCGATGCACTGTAAGCTTTGGGACATCCTGTCCTGTGTCTGCTATCCTAAACTGTCCCTCCTCCCCCTGTCTTAGGCCTGGTCTGTCCGTCCTGTCCTGTCCCTGTCATTTTCACCATTCCCTTTCATTCGGACTCGTCCTTAACAGCTTTGTCCTTTCCTTGCTACTGTAACCATCTGAATTTGTCCTCTCTGTGCCCTATTTCAGTCTTTGGCACTCAAACAAACATTATTTTTTGCTTCCAGTCGTATCAAAGAACATTACATTGAATTCTGGGTAAATTATGTGCGACGGGATGGTTTATTTTAATCAATGTCAGAGGGGTTACATACGCAGATTAATTTGGGAATGATATCTATGTTTACAATGCTGCTTAACTGGCATCTGGATGCAGGAAATCAGGGAAATAATTTTGTTATATCACCAGTCTGTGCATAAGATTGTTTATGCATAGGGTTTATATGCAAGTGCAAGTGTGTGTATGATAACCATCGGCTTAGAGAAAGTGTGTGTAACTGAACAGACAAATGTGAGACTCGGAGGACACAGCCAATGGGGAAACACCTCACTCCCCAGGGCTTTTTTTCCTCCGCATGCTCCTGTCCCCTCCCCTCCTCTCCTCACTGCAGTTAAAGAGAAGGTCATGCATAATATGCCACTATATTGTCAAGCTCTGTAAGTATCTCATTGTAATAAGCCCACGTAAATTAGACGAGCTGCCTCAGGGATTGTGCTCTTCTGCCATATAATGGATTTCATACATCCCCTTGTGCAGACATTCCTCATGTCCTCATGCAGCATTTGGTGCAAAGCCTATAATGACCATTAAGGTTTAAAATGCACCATCGGATCTGAAAGGGGCAATTCAGATGCATGATTTAAAAGGTTAAAATCCACAAAATTTGCACTTATGACAATATGCTTTTTGAAAATGGCACATCTACAAAACAAAAACGTTAAGAGTAAGACTTTTCATAGCTATCTTAAAGTACTCTCCTTTTTTATCTATTTAGTATTTAATGCTGGACGTCACCTGTATGGAACAGATGTTTAATGGTAATGTTAACCTTAATTTATTTATTTTACTGTTAACAGCTAAAGCAAAATGTTGAAGCCCTTATCATCAAAATCTGATGAAAATTGTCTATGATGGTTATTTGCATCCACTAATGTAATTAGAAATCACATAATTTAATAGATTTAATTTTAATATATTAGTTTAATCTGCTCTGTTTAATGAAATAGAAACATTATAACACAGAAAGGCCTGGGAGAAAAAAGGAAAAGAAAAATAGAAAATGTCTGGAAAAGTAATTTAATGGAATCTTAATATTCATGATCAAAATATTTCAGCAGCTAAGTATTTCTCTTGTGTTAAGCAAAACCTACTTGCAAACAAATCGTTCTTTGATTATTTTCTATTAATTGATCAAATGGTTCACAAAAAAAGCCTTAATGGTTTATGAAAATGTGAAGGGTCAATTCTGTCATAATCATTTCACATATTAGATTTTATTTCTTCTACTGGAAACAAAAGGAGATATTTAAAGTATTTTTACAGTATAAAACACCACCCATTTTCATTGCATGGAAAAGAGCAGTTCGAAAACATATCCTTTTGAAAGAAAGAAAAGAAAAAAAAAGAAAGAAAGTCTCATGGTTTGGAACAACATGAGGATGAGTGAATGATGACAGAATTTACATTTCTGGCTACTATTCCATTTCCAAGTTCCAACCATACAGAGATCAGCACTGAGCTAAAAGCTTTTCTGAAGCCTTCATTGTTCTGCATGTTTAATTATCCAGGCACTAGCTGTGTGTGTGTGTGTGTATGCGCTTGGCACAGTAGCCCTGGAGAGCGATGGGGAACGGACTGCTGAGGGAACCTCCACGCTATTGGTCTACAGTAGAGGGGGTTGTGTGGGCATCGAGATCTGTGATATACCTGTTGTGAAGTTAGGAAAATGGTTTCAAGATAAAAATAGAGCCGGTCCCGTCCTGACCCATTTTATAGACAATATGCTCTGGAAAAACCCTCCTGGGCTGAACGAGAGAGGGTGAGAAAGAGAGCACGAGAAAGATATGGGGAGTGGGAGGCGGTGACACAGTTGTAAGGTTCTTGACAGAAATAGTTGTGGGCCTGTTGCCATGATCAGCCATTATTCAGGCGACACAGGCTTCGATTTAAAACTCCTCGTTCCAAACAAAGTTTCCACCAGATAACTTGCGGTATAATGGCATTGTCTGAGCACAATAGGTGCATGTGTGGGTGTGTGTGATTGTGTGACCTCAGACAAGACATGTATAATGTGTGTTGTGGTGCCTTTATCTCAGGTTTGATAAATGGTTTCTATAGTCTCTCTCCTCCACAGATGGTATTGAGATTCAAAATGCTCCCGTCACTGAGATGCAATCACACCCATCACACTGCAGACTCAAAGAGACATGTAGTTTCTAAAGGCAAATGAAAAGCCAGAGACTTACTGATATGAATCCAAACTAGAACATACAATTGCTTCCAAACACACCTCATTCCCAGCATCACCTCACATGCCGGCGAGGGATGGGGAGAGAGAGCGAGAGCGAGAGAGAAACAGAAGTGTAAGTGATTCAGTAATCTTCTCTTTTCCCCTTGCAGGTAATGAACTGCAGATTGTAGCTGTTCATCCCCATAAACCCTCTGCGGCATTTTAAGCTGCCTCCATTTCCCATAAGCCCCCTTATGAACCCTAGTACCCTTCAGTTGATAATCTTGTTATTCTGTGGCCTCTCTGTCTTTGCCAAAGGTAATCTTATTAGTATTCCTACAGATTTTTAAACATGTTGATAGACACTAATATGTAAAATATCATGTAGATTAAATTTAGTGAAGTATATATAATACATTCAAAATTTTGGGGTTGGTAAGATTTTTTAAATGTTTTTGAACTAAGGCTCTTATGGCCTACAATTAAATTGTACGTAATTGTACGTCTTAAAATGAATGAAGTATAGCTGAATTTAGAATTTTCATCCTCAATACTCTAGTCTTCAGTGCCACATGATCCTTCAGAAATCATTCTGATATGCTGATTTGGTGCTGAAGAGCAGTGGTTCCCAACCCTGGTCCTGGAGGCACCCCAACACTGCACGTTTTGCATGTCTCTTTAATCAAACACACCTGATTCAGGTCATCAGCTCATTAGTAGAGACTCCAAATTGGTGTGTTAGAGAAAGGAGACATGCAAAATGTGTAGTGTTGGGGTGC